CCCCCCCCATCAAAATCCTGACTACGGGCCTGGCGGTGCCTAATTTTTCTACTCACAGCTTACAGCTGTTTTCGAACAGCTTAGGTGAACAGTAAGCTGGGCTGAAGGTTGGGTGCTCACTCCAACCCGGGCTTTGAACTGCCAACCTTTCAATTGGTAAGATCTATTGCTGCTGGTGATTAACCAGCTGTGCTAAAGCCCGGCTCTTCTGTCAGTGAATAGAGAAGACGAATTACAGGACACTAGTAAGAGCGTCCTCATACATAGTTGTATTCCTTAGTGCATATCGAGATGCACAAATAAAGTGAAGCTGGCTTCGCCATGTAGTAACTTAACAGAAGCCCTTCATTGTATACAAACTTTACGAAACTGCCCAATTATAACTTCTACAGATGTCCCACTTATGAAGACATAAATCCCCAACAGATTAATTGTGAAGACCAAGAGTTCCAGTAACTCTCATGTAGGTGGCCAGATTAATACTAAAGACGGCTCCTGAAATTTTAATAATAAATAGGGAATTTCAGCAGGTTTTGCTTATTAACTAACTATGTGGCAAGCAAGAGCTGCTTCTGAATAAGCATTAAAAGTACAGCAGTCTAGTTGCTGCTATTCATTATTTATTTACTGGATTTATATACCATGTTTTTCCTCCTGAGGGGATTCAAAGCATAACAGTGGCAAAATTCCAACATAATAATGGCAAAATTCCAACATAATAATGGCAAAATTCAATGCCGTACATACATGGGAAGACCAAGACATAGAACTAGACAATAATATATAACTATAAATTAAAAACATAACCGTATTAAACATAAAACACAGAACGACATTAGAACATAAACATAAAATTAAAATATTAATAATACAGTAGCATTTGTATTAAAACCCACCTGTTAAACAACATAAGTTATTAAAATCACGCCATCCAAAACAGGCATAGGCAAACTTTTGCCCTCCAGGTGTTTTGGACTTCAACTCCCACAATTCCTAACAGCCTACCGGCTGTTAGGAATTGTGGGAGTTGAAGTCCAAAACACCTGGAGGGTGGCCCCCCGGCTGTGGAACACCCTCCCTGCTGAAGTTAGACAGGCGCCTTCTTTGATGGCCTTTCGTAGGGGCCTAAAAACATGGCTCTTCGAGCAGGCCTTCAACTGAGTGTATTGAATGACAATGGAATGAACTAGGACTACGAATTTGGCTATGACCCCAGGACTTGACGAAGCGGATTTTTAGTATAAGTATATGTTATGTGGTATCTGTTTGGTTTGTATTGTCATGATTCACTGTACGCTGTCGTCTGTGTGTTATGTTGTTGTTCACCGCCCCGAGTCGCCCTTGGGCTGAGAGGGGCGGTCAATAAATGCAAGAAATAAATAAATAAATAAATAATAAAAGTTTGCCCATAACAGATTTAGAAACTTCATCTTCTTATATGTGTTCTTTTACTATAATCCTTGTAATTTCACTTTGCTGTCATTTCACTTATAATATGGATGCAGATTTAAAGGGTATATCACAATGGAAAATCACTGTATAGAAACAGGGAGGAATAGTTAAGCACCTCGATGTGTGGAGTCTCCCCGAGTTGCAGATTGTTGAAAATGGTTGCATAGTCACCATTCAAATTCATCAGATTCTCGTGGCTTCCCCTCTCGGTGATGCAGCCTTCTTTCATGACAATCACTTCATCACAATCCACAAGGTACTGAAGACCGATGACAGGGAGAAGTACACTTATTATGTGGTGTGCCCAAACAACAACCTGCCCCCCCCCCCCATTTCCATTTCCATTATGCCACCAGTTATCACAATACCAGAATGCAATTGTCCCCTTAGTAGGTCATATATCACACAAAGATGTGCAACCATCTCTTTCCCCAAGCCAATCAATGTCACCAAACCAAAAAAACCCCCCACAGATTCTTGAGCTTTTGGGGTAATTTCTTGTTTTATAAACCAAGAGATTTTTCTGAACTAAAGAACATGCAACTTCTGCAGTCTCTCCTTGGGAAGAAGAATCCCCACTACCAACCCTAGTTTTTACTCTGCTTTCTTACATCTCCAATGCAGCTGTACTTACAATTACAGTTGTTAATGTTCTTGATATAGTTTTTAGTAAAGGTTGTTCCCTGACATTAAGTCCAGTCATGTCTGACTCTGGGGTGTGGTGCTCATCTCCATTTCTAAGCCGAAGAGCCGGCGTTGTCCGTAGACACCTCCAAGGTCATGTGGCCAGCATGACTGCATGGAGCACCGTTACCTTCCCGTCGGAGCAGTACCTATTGATCTACTCACATTTGCACGTTTTCGAACTGCTAGGTTGGCAGAAGCTAGGGCTGACAGCGGAAGCTCACGCCGAACCTATGACCTTTCGATCAACAAGCTCAGCAGCTCAGTGCTTTAACCCACTGCGCCACCAGGAGCTCTGGAAATAGTTTTTATTTCACCTTTATTTTCTTGCTCTCTTGGCTACACTAATGCTCTTATAGTAAAGGTAAGCTGCATCCCACTCCATCCCCACCCCTCTTTGTAAACTAAAAGGCAATTTTGGCTATGCAAATTAATAGTTACCACCACTCAAGCCCCATAGGTGTATGAAAATGGTTGGGGAGCATTATTTTACCTGTAGCTGGTGCGTGATAAACAAAACTGTTTTCGACTTCAGATGTTTTCGTATTGCACTGTTGAAGATGTGGTTTCCAACATGGGCATCCAAGGCACTGAGGGGGTCATCAAGGATGTAAATGTCCTTGTCGCTGTATAAGGCTCGAGCAAGGCTGATCCTCTGGCGTTGGCCCCCACTCAGGTTTGCACCTCGTTCACCAATCTACATTAAATAAACTTGGTTAAAAGGCTTATTTTTATATCACCGGTTTATATTTTTCGGTCATACACAATACCTTGCATATGCAACTTGCCATGCCATTAAAAATATCAGCTGTACCTCTAACCCATTTTTTTTTGTCGTGTCAGGAGCGACTTGAGAAACTGCAAGTTGCTTCTGGTGTGAGAGAATTGGCCATCTGCAAGGATGTTGCCCAGGGTACGCCCACATGTTTTTGATGGGTTACCATCCTTGTGGGAGGCTTCTCTCATGTCCCCGCATGAGGAGCTGGAACTGATAGAGGGAGCGCATCCACGCTCTCCCCGGATTCGAACCTGCGACTTGTCGGTCTTCAGTCCTGCCGGCTCAAGGGTTTAACCCACTGCGACACCAGAGGCTCCCAATGAGATCAATAGATCAGTTTTGCTCACTCAGTGAGCTTCAGGGATGGATACCAAACAGGAACTGGAGTCTTTATATGTAAATCAAACTGTAATGTTCGTTGTTAAACCATCAGTGGACAGACTCACAACCCATTAGAGCCCAGTATCTTGTAGGGTAGTAGTTTATTCCATTCATAGTTTACTTCCAAAGCATTGTCTGAGAAACCGCTTTCCAAACACTGCCTCCAATATAAATACACTGCAGCTGTATTTACAAGAGGCTGTGTCTTAAAGGCATCTTACACCACACAAACAGTTTAAGTATAATACAAAATGGCCTTACACATCCCTGGGAATTATTAATATGTAATGTTGTGACAGAGAAGGCCTGCACAATCTGTGCCCCTCCGGGTGTTTTGGCCTCCAACTCCCAGAATCCCTAGCCAGTTGTTTCAATGGTCAGGAATTCTAGGAGATGAAGTCCAAAACACCTGGAGGGCCACAAATGGTGCAGGCCTGTTAGAAAGTCTTCAAAGGCAAGAGCACCGGGACTGTGGCGCAGCTGGCTGAGTGTCAGCTGCATTAAGATCACTCTGACCAAAAGGTCATGAGTTCGAAGCCAGCTCGGGTTGGAGTGGGTTTCCAACCAATTGTGTAGCCTGTTGTTGACCTTTGCAACCCGAAAGACAGTTGCATCTGTCAAGTAGGAAAACTAGGTACCACCTTAAAGTGTGGGGAGGCTAAATTAACTAATTTATGAGGCCATTTATGAAGCACTCCAGCAAAAAGCATGCGGGGAATGCGGAAGTAGTTCATCAGTGTCGCAGATGGACGATGAAAGCGACAGCTCCCCTGGCGGTCAGAAAAAGTTAAATAGACTCTGTGTATGTCTGTCTATGTTGTATGTCAAAATTGGCATTGAATGTTTGCCATATATGTGTACACTGTAATCCGCCCTGAGTCCCCTGCGGGGTGAGAAGGGCGGAATATAAAATCTCTAAGCTAAAGCTAAGCTAAAAAGAGCTTCTCAAGGCAGCTTAAAATATTCAAAAAATAGAATATATTTGCCAGCTTTCTCCTGGCACAGGTACCAAGGGGATTACAGTTCATTAAAACAGTATGAAATATTGAAATGGCATCCTGTTTATAAAGGATGAATAGCCATTTTAAAAAGCAGTAATTGCATTTAAAACACAGTATGGTTTGGCCAACAAACCAGAACACTGAAATGAGGGTCATTTCAGGACAAATATCACACCACATTCAATATTCACTCAAGCTGGGACAGAGTGGTACACGATCACAGATTAAAACTGTTTGTGGGTATATATGTTTGGTTATTCCAATCTTTATACCAGCTTTAATGCAATATACAGGGTATGTATGTCTTAGCTAGAAACCCAAAATGCTCCAAAATCCAAAACTGTCCACATGGGTGGCTGAGATAGTGTACACAAACTTTATTCATGCACAAAATTATTGCAAATATCATGTGCAAAATTGCCTTCAGACTATAGGAATAAGGTGTATATGCAGCATGTTTAGACTCCAAAATATCTCATCTCAAATGCTAATATTCCAAAATCCAAAACACTTCTGGTCCCAAGTGTGTCAGATAAGGGAGACTCAACCTGTCCCAGATCAAATACCAAAATGAACAACAACAATATTGCAATACTGATTACACTCCGGAGCCAAAATTTAGTAGTGACATTTGCAAAACGCAAGAGAAGCTCTTTATTAGTTCCCAAATATGACCTCCTCTTGCTAATCAAATCCTTCGTAGAATGCAAGATCACAACTGTCATGCACAATTCCTACCTCTGTCATGTCCCCATTTGGCAGGATAGCCAGATCAGGTCTGAGACAGCAGTTATTCAAGACAGTATTATATCTGAGGGCAAAAAGTAAGATGTAAGAGTAGCAACATATGCATTTTTCTGGCTTCATATGAAAAAAACAGCATAGTTTCAGAGTGTCATAAAAGTTCTTGTGGGTTTTTTCGGGCTATATGGCCATGTTCTAGAGGCATTTCTCCTGACGTTTCGCCTGCATCTATGGCAAGCATCCTCAGAAGCAACCTCTGAGGATGCTTGCCATAGATGCAGGCGAAACGTCAGGAGAGAATGCCTCTAGAACATGGCCATATAGCCCGAAAAAACCCACAAGAACTTAGTGATTCCAGCCATGAAAGCCTTCGACAATACATTGTCATAACAATGTTTCAGCAAAATCAATTAATGAAAGATAATAATAATAATATCCATGTTAGACAATTATGTCCTTTCAACAAACAGTGTTGTGACCGTGTAAACAACTTACAGCCACTTATCTAAAGTATTCACACAACAGAGACCTGACAGGCAAAACAAATGGCTATGAAAGATGATTAATTAAAATGCTTAGCAAGCTCAACTGCATTTGCAGTGCTAAAATATTTCACTGGTTCATATCTTGCATTACTCCAGATTTTAAATCCCTCCAAGACTAAGCAGATTCTCAGGTTCATATATTTTGGCCCTACTTTCTTCCTAGGTAGCCTGGAAGGTGACTTTTACTACATTTAGTTAGACTTCCAGTTGGAAACACCTATGACCATCGCACCACACAAGTGTCCAGGAATATAAGCAGTTTATTGTAAAACACATAAAACCCATAAGAATAAGAAAGAAAGACATATAATCCAAAAAGATTTAGCAACAGGTGATAACCAAACAATAATCCAAATGTCTCTTAAAGTTCCAAAGGTGATAAAGTCCAGAAACAGCCAGAAATCACAGGTACAGCATAAGTTCACAAGTAAGAAGGTATAACTAGTTAAAACTTTAACAGGAGTAAATGAACAGGAACATAGAAAACTTCCAGGATATTAAAATCCAAAACCAAGGCTTGACTTGAAACATGAACAAGAGAACTCGGGCTTAGCTTCTCACTCTAACGCAGCGTTGCCTGAACTGCCCTTAAAGTAAACAACTTGTTATTGAATAGACACCCATGAAAGCATTATGTCTCCCATGAATTTTCTTCCCAACTTTCCCACATAATCTCTCAGACTGGCACAATCCATTTTCGGCTCTGATTTGTAAACTTTTGTTGATCTTCATAGCTACAGGTGATTACTCCTGGGAACCCTCCTTATCATTCAGCTCTTCACTCAATTCCTTATCTGCTGTTGCTACTTCTGACTCCTCGGACTGGCCTTGAGGACCTGCACTTTCTGAGCCACTTAATCTCACAGAGAGAAACATCATATCCCAGACCTAAAATTTCCAGATTTGAGAGCCCATAAGTTTGTGCCACGGGAAAGCCCACAATCCTCTCTAAATCATCAGGTAACCCATCAGCCTCTGGCAGATCTACAACACTAGGAATCAAAGTCAATGAATCTAAAAGGTTAGGGATTCCTGCCAGTCACATGGGAAGAAGAGGTATGTGAGACTGAGATTTTGTCTGGTCTCCCAGAACTTTTGTTAAGTAATGTTCAATCCTGGTTTACGGTTACATACAAAGGGGATCAAGCCTGCGTTAAGAGCTGAGGAAAATGTACACCAAAGGCAGAAACCTGTAGAGGCCAGCCGAGGCAGAACGCCTAGTTAATGATTCATGATTTACACTGCTATGCAAATATACAGTGGCTGCCCAACAAGGGTGAGCAAAGTGCAGCCATGAAGAAACAGGAAGGCTATTTTGCAGCCCTTTTTCCTCCCCAGATTCCTCTGGACAGTTTATTATCTTCAAACCCTCCGGGAACAGATTGCAATATTTTATTGTACCATATAGCATTAAAAACATAGGGTTGCTATGTGTTTTCCTGGCTGTATGGCCAGGATCCAGAAGCATTCTCTCCTGATGTCTCACCCACATTTTCGTGGCTACACAGAGAAGCCACTGAAACCCACAAGCATGTGGACAATTTCAACAGAAAGGAGAAAACCATGAAGATGAACAAAATCTGGCTATCAGTATTTTAAAAAATGCTAAAATCAGGACAGTAAATAAAGAACACCACTCAAAAAAGGGGACTTGTGGTGGAGACTCCTTCTTTGGAAGCTTTTAAACAGAGGCTGGATGGCCATCTGTCAGGGGTGATTTGAATGCAACATTCCTGCTTCTTGGCAGGGGGTTGGACTGGATGGCCCATGAGGTCTCTTCCAACTCTTTGATTCTACGATTCTACGATTCTATGACTTCCAGACAAGAAACAGTCAGGGCCAGCTAATCACCTCCCATCAAAAGATTTCCTCAGGCAGGAAGAAGCCAAGCCTTGAAGCTGCAAGGCTATTCAAAGCTAATCAAGGTGATGAATTCCAACATTCACACTTGCCTCTAACAAACAAGAGTTCTTTCTCCTACCCTGATTATTCCACAGATATATAAACCCCACAGATCCCTCAATCTCTGAGGATGCTTTCCATAGATGTGGATGAAACGTCAGGAGAGAATGCTTCTGGAAAATGGCTATACTGCCCAGAAAACACACAGCAAAGAAGTGATTCAGGCCATGAAAATTTAGACAACACATTAAAAACACAGTGTTTTCAAAATCTCAGGTGGACTTTAACAATTTATATAGCCTTCAGACAGTCTCAGAGACAAAAAAAACCAAGTGTGCTGCAATTCTTCTTCTTTGTATATTTGCAGTATCAAAGTTCTATTAAGTAGCTGTACCAATGCATACTAGCCATAAGTCAACACACTGGAGGTTACAAACCTTTCTTCCTCAAACTCCTTTCCAAATAGGATATTGTCTCTAAGTGTTGCATTGAGAATCCATGCTTGTTGTGCAACGTAGGCAAATGTTCCATCAACAGAAATGCTGCCTTCCAGCAGAGTCATCTGGAACAAAATGCAGAAATTTACAATGAATCCACTACCCAATCGTGTAATTTCCTCCTTCCCTCCCTCACCACCTTTCTGGCATGCAAAGCCAACCCAACACCAATTTAAGACATTTTAAGATCTTAAGTATGACCCGCTTCACTGCATTTTATGATCTGAGGTCAAATTAATTATTTATCATGTGGGCTAAAGGCCCATGATACAAGATGTAGCTGCTGGCAGAGCAGATGGGCACAAAGAGCTTCAGTTTGCCTTGTGGAAGAAAAGCAAGAGAATCAGAAATAACTTTCAGTTAGGAGCTAAATCAATATCTCTCACCTGTCCTAAAATGGCTGAAATAAGTGACGTTTTCCCACTCCCCACGCTGCCACAAATGCCAACAAGTTTCCCCTAGATTAGACAATGGAAAGAAACACTGTCACACAAGAAATACATATTTCATCCTGGTTAAGTGCATAATAACTGAAATGTGTTAATGAATTGGAAAAGAAACCTATCAAATAATATTAGATTGCACAATAGAGAGGCAGGGACAATTTATATTACCCAAGTTTAGAACTAGATTTGTATTATGTAGTTTTAGGTTTAGCCCAACCACATTACGCTCAGTGACCCGCTGTCAAAATCATCTACACTTGAGTTGCAAAGTATCTGGTTCTAAAAAGGAAAGCAACACTAGACTAACAGCACAATCATATGCATACTTAATTTGGAAGAAAAAGGTGACCGAACTAAACCAGATTTTGAAATGTGCTAGCACACACAAGTGTCCCTGGTAGTCATATCACTACATGCTTATTTCTACAAAGTTAAAAATATTTAATTGTGCCAAAGTGCTGAAAATAAGTTTGCTGCCCGGCACTAAAACAACCCTAGTCATAAACAAGATTCTGGCAGGGATTTAGAGTAGATTAGGGGATAGAAGGGCCAAGTACAGAATCTGTGGTCAGACGAAGCAATGTTTGGAACTGGATCAAGACGTAGTGGCGAATCTTGCAGGTCTTGCCTTGGAAAGATTCAAGTTATACCTTGTTTGATTTCATGATCTGGAGTTTCTGTTTTGGGTTTTTGCATGTACTTTGATGGATTTATTTCCTGGATTATTTGTTCCTGCTTATCTTTCTTCCTACTTGGATTTACCTATTTCTTTGGAGTGTTTTACTGCTAATGCTTTTTAAATTACCTACAATAAACTGCTTGCGTTTTTACTCAGCTGTGTGGTGTTTTAAGTCAGAGGGCTTCTTCCTGGCCTGGAGTGCAACAAATAACAACAACAACAACTTCATTTGCATCCAGCCCTATCTCCCCATGGGGACTCAGGCTGGCTTCCAAAATAGTAACAGGCAAACACTCAATGCCTATACAAACAATACAGAGCTAGATATAGATCTATAATGATATATACTAATTTCACATATGCATTTCCTCTGAAACGTTTGCAAATCCTCTCTCTATACATGCATTTCTCCGGTAATCTTTGCAAGCCCTATATATCTATATTCATATACATCTATCTAGGCATGTCTCTATATATAGGTAATTATATCTATATTGGATTTGCAAAGACTTGAAAACATGTGAGGGGAAATTCATATATAAAATTATTTTTATATATATACACATATACATATACATACACACAGAGAGATATAGGTATCTCTATATATTTATCGATATCTATATCTAAATAGGATTTGCAAAGACTTGCAAACATGTGAGGGGGGAAATTCATATATAAAATTGATATATAGATAGATACAGATATGTTAGGTATATAGGGATTGCAAAGGCTTGCAGGGGGAAATGCCTATATATCTGTAGGAGAGATTAACAAATATTTAGGGGGAAATGCTTTTATAAGATTGATATCCCTGACTTGCAAGGGTTTCTCTCCCTCTTGAGAGAGCAAGGGAGGATTTGGAAAAGAAAACACACTGTTAAGGGAGGAAGAGAAATATATCATATATTGCACTGCAACGGCCTCCAGGCTCCGCTGCCCAGCATGACCCCATTATAAGCCGAGAGAGGCTTTTCAGACCCAAAAAAGGGCTGAAAAACTCAGTTTATCTTTGAGTATATATGATACTTTGAGGCCAATTTTTATGACAACAGGGGAACATAAATGAATAAAGTAATGACAGCAACTCTAACCATCAGTAATTCCGTGCAACTTAAAGGCAAGACGTAGTATTCCACCCCTCTGGCTCTTTGTTTGTGTTTGCGGGGCCCCGGAAATTGAGGATCTGCCTCACTATTTGCTTTT